GCCTCTCAGGTGCTGGCATTAAAGGATTTGTGCACGCCCCACTGTACTGATAGAGCTAGTCTTTAACCCATCAATAGGCTTAACACGATCTTGTTGGCTTAAAACTTTGGATTTTCCCGTGTCTGCCTCCTGAGTGCTGCGCTTATGCCCATGTGCCACCATGTCTGGCTATCTTTTATTCGTTTTCATTTTTTTGAGAGGTAGCCTAGTCTGGCTTCCTGTTCACAGCGTAGCTGAGGGTGACTTTAAGCTTACTTCAAATAACAGTTTTGAGATTTTTTTTTAATCTTATATGTGTGAGTGTTTTGCTCATGTATGTCTGTGCAACCATGTGCACATCTAGTACCTGTGGGTGTCAGAACCGGAACTGGAGTTGCAGAGAGTTGTTAGTCAACATGTCGGGGCTGGGATTTGAACCCAGATCTTTTGGAAGAGCAGCCAGTGCCCTTAACTGTTAAGCCTTCTCTGTAGCTCCAGTTGATCTTAATTTAAAATAAATAAATTTAGTTAGTTGTTTATGATTGTGTGTATATGTACACATGTGTAAGGTAAGAGGACAGCTTTGTGGAGTCGGTTTTCTCCCTCTGCTATTGAACAGAGCCTACCTGAGGGCTATGGCAGAAGCCAGGAGACTATTTGGAGCTTCTGTAGGGGATCCCACAGCTAACTGACAGCAGTGGATGTCATACACACACAGGCATGGTTTTGAGTCAAGATTTGTGTTGCTCAGGCTGGTCTTGAACTGGTGGACTCAAGTTATTCAGTGAAGTTACTAGCTTCACAAGTAGCTGAGACTAGAGGTCTGTGCCATTCTGTCCAGCTAGACACATAATCAAACTCTGAAGTAGTTTCAAACCTGTAGTTGTAAGGTTACCGTAAAGAACATTTGCATGCTTTTCTGCAATTTTAAATCGTGTCACAGTTGCTCCATTTCTTTCTCTTTTTCCTTCTCCCCCATCCTTCACCCTTAAATACTACAGATACACCACCTACCACCTGAAAATAACAAGCAACACCCTGCTGTAAGTTTTCCTGTATTACCACAGTGTGTTTCTTCCGTTCAGAAAATAAACATTGATACAACACTGCTGTTCACCTAACAGAGATGGCTTAATTTTTGTTATCTGTCTCAGTGGCTTTTCCTTTGTAGGCTGGAAGTCTTCCTGTAAACGCTTTTTTATGCCTCTTGTCTCATTGATGCTCTTCATTCTGGGATAGCGCTTTACTTTTTTCCTGTCTCTCATGTCCTTGGCAGTCTTTATGCTAGAAATTATTTGTAATCTGGATCTGTGCACTGGGGCCTTGTGACTAGACTCAAGCTATGCAGTGGCAGGTGTTCCAGAGGCCTGACTCTCTTTGAGTGCTTGATTCTCTGAGTCACACGGTGCTGGCGATCCAAGGGCTTAGTCACATGATTGTAGTTAAGTTGCCGTCTATCAGGTTCCTCCACTGTAATGTTAGTTTACCTTCTGTATTTTTATGTATATTTTGGGGAGGTAATGTGACAGGGCACTAATGTTGTGTTGTTATTAACACCCCCACATCCCTATCCCCACTAAGTGTGCCAGCCTAAATCAACTACTTCTCTAGTGGTTGACACATGCAAATCATCTGTCTCTATCCTGCCTTACGCTTACTATTTTGTGTCAATGCTTGCATCATTAGAAAGAGCCCTCTTTCCCTCCTCTCCTTCCTTTCTTCTTCCATGTGAATTCCCTGAAATTTTTTTTTATCTTAATGAGTTGTAAACGTTTACTCTGTTTTAATATTTAGATTTTCTGAGATTTGATCAGTGGGAGTTCATTCATGGTAGTACCTTTGGTCTTTTGATACAGTCATGTTCTTTTTGTTTGTGTGTACAGTTGGGATTGAACTCAGGGCCTTGCACATGCTGCTCATGACCATGGCTCTTCTGATGTGTTCTTGTCTTTTGCTGAGATTTTTTTTTTTTAAACAAGATTTCCCAGGCTTATCTTGTACATTTTCTGCTCTGAACCAGCCATTTCTCCAAAGAGTCCAGAGTGATTTTCACTTAGTGGAGGCTGGTATTTAATATCCACTATCTGAGCACATTGTTTTCATTCTACGGGGGTGTTACTGTGCACAAACCTCTCGGCAGATAAAACTCGGAAATGAATGCATGTCTTTGTGTATACACACACACACGTAAACAACTTTAATGATCTGTTTCTCTCTGCTTCATATTTATTTTGAGACAGTTGTCATTCTGTAGCCCAGGCTTGCCTGGAACTAGTAATATAGCACAGGATGGTCTAGAACTCGAAGATTTTCCCACCACTGCTTCACAAGTGCTAGGATTATAGGCATGTGCCATCGTTCCTGACTGTGTATGAATGTATTTAAAAATCAGCTCATTTACTAATTACTTCAGTTTAGCACCTTATAGGTTTGTTTGTTTGTTTGTTTGTTTGTTTAGCCTTTCCCTCTCCATGTTTCTGAATCCTCCCTTAGACAGTAAGGCATCTTGCTTCAGTTCTTTTAGATATATTTATTCATTCGCTTCATCAGTTAACAGATTATTAACTGTAAGAACTCTTAACTATCAGGCTGTCTCTTCCATTGCCATGTTCTTCTCCTTCCCACCAGCTCCATTTCTTTGGCAGCTGAGGAATATTGCCACCCATGTCAGGCAAACTGCTCTTCCCTACCATGCTGTTTCTTTGGATACCAGACACTTTGGTGCAGGCATAATACCCCACCAGCCTCATTGCTCTGCTGTCTTAGTAAAGACAGGAAAAGGAGGGAAAATGGGATGAGAGGTAAGAAGGCAGGTTATGGATGTAGATAAATGATAGATAGATAGATAGATAGATAGATAGATAGATAGATAGATAGATATTGACTAGAAAGCTGACAGGAGTTGGAGGTGTATCTAATACAGAGAGCATGGGGAAGAGTAAGCAGTGATTCTAGGGTTTTGGAGAACTGAATGTGATTAAGTGAAAACTGGAAGCAATAGATGGTTTGATGGAAGTAATGAGAGCTCAGTTTGGAGTATGTCAAGTTGGAGGTATCTTTTAAACAACCACGAGAGATGTAAGCACAGTGTATTACCCACACATCTTGACATTGTCAGCTGGAGATACATATCTGGGAATGCTTGGCACAGAGATGCTATTTAAAGCCATGATTCAGTGAGTTTCAAAGAGAGAACATTTGATAGAAAAATTTATGCTGAGCCCAGAGGCAGTTTCATGTTAGAGAGTTGGGGAACCATTAAGGACCTACCTGCCTCCAGTGAGGTAGGAGGAAAATTAGGTGAATGTGGTGTTTTGGAAGCTAAGTGAAGAAAATGTTTCCATTAATAGGAAAGGCTCAGACTGTCAGATGTTCTTGATGGGTCAGGAGAGGCAAGGACTGTGACTTTCTCATTGGATTTAGTAGCGTGAAGTGGTGACATTAATAACTGCTGTGTATGGAGCTGGGCGCTTGACTGGGGCAAGTTCAAGAAGGAATGGGAAGAAATAAGAGACAGCAAATGCAGAAAAGTTGGCATTTCAGCCTGTATTTGAAACACATCATCCCAGTCATCTGCTTTGTGATTTTTGGCTCCGGAGCTGAGTTCAAAGCAGCCTTTTTGACAATCCTGTGGCTAGCCTGGCATTATTACTATCTACACATTAGTGTTGTGCTGTTTTAAGTGGGCTTCTGTCATTGGCCAGTGTCTTCCTTACTGTCCTGTTAAACCCTGACCAAGGCAATGGAAGCATTTAATTGGGGACTTGCGTACAGTTTTACAGGGTTAGTCCATGACCGTCATGGCGGGAGCATGGTGGCAGGCACGTACTGGAGCAGTGTCTGATCTGCAGGCAGAAGGCAGAGACAGTGAGGCTGGGTCTGGTGTGGGTTTTTGAAACCTCAAAACCCAGTGACACATCTCCTCCAACCAGGCCACACCTCTTAAATCCTTCGCAAATAGTTCCATCTGGGGACTCAGCCTTCAAATGGATGAGCCTATGGGGGTGGGAGTGGAGCGTTTTTTATTCAAACCACCATAGGCAGATCAGTGGAGCTGATGAATATGTGCATTGAGGAAATCACTGCACGAGTTTTAGTACAGTGGAGGACCTGGAGCTGGGAAACTCTTTAAAGAGTTCTAGAAAAAGTAAAAAATAAAATAAAATAAAAAGGAGTTCTGAAAGTGTTAGGGGAGAAAAACTTTACAGATTGTGTGACAGTATTAGGCCTTGTCAGCATCTTCTAATTTTTTTTTTTAAATATAGATTATGGGAGAATCTTTTCTTGTCCATATTTTTTGGTTTATGAGGAAACCTCATTAGAAATTAGAATATACTTCAATTTGCTGAAAATTTAGGCAAGGCTTTTATTATCTACATGGACATTTGTGTGTGTGCTTCCTCCTGTGTGTGTGAGTGCATGTATACATGTGTGTGCTTGTAGAGGTATTTTTGATATCTTCTTCCACCTTTTTTTTTTTTTTTTTTTTCTTTTATTTGCTTGTTAATGATACTCAGTCGACCACTTTATTTTTTTTTTTTCAGTTAAGTTTTATTGTGTGTGTTGGGGTAAGTGGCATGCCACACAGTGTGTGTGCAGAGGTCAGAGGACAACCATGTAGAGTTGGTTCTCCTTCCACCGTTACGTGGTGTCTGGGGGCAGAACTCAGGTCATCAGGGGTGTGCAGCAAATGCCTTTACCATCTTGCCAAGCTTCCACTTTTTGTTTTTGTGACAAAGTCTCTTACTGAGACTGCAGTTTACAGATTTGGCTGGCAAGCTCTGGGGATTCGTCTTTCCCTGCCTCCCTGGTGCGGAGATTCTAGACAGCCATAGCTGCAGCCAGCCTTCCACATGTGTTATGGGAGCCAAGCACATGTTCTCATGATGGTCACATTGCCTGAGCTTGTCAGCAGCAGCAGTGCCCAAAGCAAAACTATTCACTCCGCCACAGGTTGCAGTGCCTTTCCCACCGTCAACTTACTGAGTGACAGTAGCTTTTCCTTTCCTTCTTTATTCAAGAGTCTTCGTTGTTTGCCGAGCTTGGCTATTTCACAGACACTGATGAGGTGCAGTTCGATGCAGCAAATGAGACTTATGTAAGTATTTACTGGAGGAGTAATGGTGAATAACTTCATGTTTCATCTGTACTGTTATTAATGCATGAGGGTTTCAGGACAGCAGGTTTAGGCAGATACCTAAGTGACACCATTAACCATGAATGTTAGCAGTTCTTTTGTAGTCAAAATGTACAGAGATAAAAAATTGGTTAGGTCTTGGTTTGAGAAGACTTGTTTCCTTAGCAAATGTTTAGTCTTAGGGGTAAGTAACCATGTAAAATTCATTTGACAACCTGCCTTTTTCTTTTCTTTTCTTTCTTTCTTCTTTTTATTTTATTTTTATTTTTTGGAGTCAGAGCTTCACGTTGTACTCTTCACTGGTCTCAAGCTGGTCCTGTTGGCTTTCAGTTCCTAGCAGTCCTTTTCCCTCAGCCTTCTGAGTGCTGAAAGTATAGGCATGAACCACCATGCTGGGTTCTATTTCTTGATTTTTGCAGATACGTCGATGCTTGTGGGAAATAGTGGCATTAAGAAGCATGTGTGAGTCGTGGATCTAGTCAAGTGGAACTTACCAACTTCCTTTTTAAGAACTTTCAGAATTAGTCATAGTCTTATTTTTGTCTTTGATTGGTTAGAGAACTATGTAAAAACTGATATTGTAATACTTTGAGTCATCAGAATGGCTTAGTTTTTTTTTTTTTATTTGTGCATGTATAACTAGTTGGCTTATAGAATTCTGAAGTTTGCCCCATTCTTTAATTCCTTTACCTGCTGAGCCGTCTTAGTGGCCCTAAGAATGTTTTTTGGGTTTGTTTGTTGAATTCATAAAAGTTTTAGAAGTTTAAAAACACAAAATGGTAAGGGGCAAAAGAACATTATCCTATAGTACTTATCCTCTTGGTGACTCCTGCATTGTTTTTTGCTATAGCTATATTCTTTCTTCTGTAGAGGGATGATAGGAATAGCTATTTGTTTAAACTTGTTTTTCTTAATAACAAAGGGAAAACATCCAACGTGTCATTTTCTGAATCTATAATGGTCTGTTTCCACAGAAAAGAATAAATATGACTAATATTTTAATTATTGAGTCTGTGCTGGGGGTTGGTCCAGTGCTATGTATTCTAATGCTAAATACTGACCCCCAAGATTTGGTTGCTATCCAGACAAGCACATTCTCATGTACAACAAGTGATGTTTTGTAAACCTTGCTCTCCAGTTTGGTTGGTTGGTTAATAAAATGAGCTAGGAGCCTATAACTGGGCAGAAGAGAAGTAGGCAGAGCTTAGGTTCTTGGGCTTGGGGTTAGATAGGGACCACGAAGAGGAGAGGGAACAGCAGGAGAGGAAGCTGGAGAGAAGAAAGTCCCCATGGGATAGTGAGGACCATGAGCACGTGGCCATGAGGGCTGGCCTGATGGAACAGAAGCAGTCCAGGCAGGAACTATTATGCTGGAAAATAGCAAAATAATTTAAGGGTTGATACTTGGTTATGGTATGGTGCTTTATAGTTTATAAAATGAATCATAGTCTCTATGTCAATTATTTGGGAACTAGCTGGGGACGAGAAGCCCTCTAGAGTTTAACATCTCTTTCATAACAAGTCTGTTTCTTCTTGTGCCATTATTGTCCTTCAGTAAGCCAAAATTTCTGTGTCTCTGGGTTCTCTAAGATGTATTTGCAGTATGAACCAATTGGCTTAGAATTTTTTTTTATTAGGTTGCGTAGTAGCAGTTATATTATCTGTGGTAAACTGTGCCTGATAGGTTTATTTCAAGGTGTGTGTATTTTATTTTAACCATTTGCTGATTTGACACCTACAGGAAAATAATTTTGATCATCTTAATTTTGATTTGGATTTGATGCCTTGGGAGTCAGACATTTGGAGCTCCAACAGCCACTGTTGCTCAGGTAATGATATGCCTTACCCATAAATGCTCTATCTCATCTCAAGTTATAGTTTGGTAATATTTGGAATTAAGTGGATCAGAAAATACTGGCCAATAGGGCTTATGAAATGAAAAGGATAAGGCTAGGGTTACCAGCAATTAGGAGCTTGATAGTGAAGTCCCTTGAATTTGATGTGTATCCTCTTGAGGGGGAGGCACAACTTGGCTAATGCTACTTTTTTTTTTTAAGATTTATTTGTTTATTATTTATACAGTATTCTGCCTACGTGTGTGCCTGCAGGTAAGAAGAGGACACCAGATCTCATTATAGATGTTTATAAGCCACCATGTGGTTGCTGGGAATTGAATTCAGGACCTTTGGAAGAAAAGCCAGTACTCTTAGCCTCTGATCCATCTCTCCAGCCTGTACTTTTTTTTTTTAAGTGATCAAAAATTTATGACAACGAGAGAACAGGAAATTGGATAATATGTATCATATTTGTTTCTAGTGTTAGTTACCTAAGGTGTAATGATTAACCTTTCACAGTATATTACTCAGAGCAGATCAATAAACCATGAAATCCTTGTTATTTGAACAGAGAATTTAACTACAGTTTTACAATACTTTACTTTGGATTTTAATGTTCAATTTTAATTTTTTACATAATTTATTTATTTTTATTTTATATACATTGGTGCTTTGAATATATGTCTCTGTGAGAGTGGAACAGGAGTGACAGACACTTGTGAGCTGCCATGTGGGTGCTGGGAATTGAATCCCGGTCCTTTGGAAGAGCAAACAGTGCTCTTAACCACTGAGCCATCTCTCCAGTCCCTCAATTTTAATTTTTAAAAATTCAAATTTAAAATTTATGTGTGTGAGTGTTTTGCCTGCATGTATGTGCACTGCTGTGCATGGTGCCCGGAAGAGGGTGTCTGGTCTCCTGGAACTACACATACATGTTATGTGAACCACTTTGTGGGTGCTGGGAATTGAACCTGGGTCTTTTAGAAGATTAGTCAGCTCTTAACTGCTGAGCCATCTCTCTAATACACAGGTTTTTTAAAATAAAACTTACAATTCCCTTTAACCTTGGCTAACATGATTATGCATGAGAGTCCATTCAAAGGTTTCATTTTCTATAATTTTATGCAGCTTCTCAGCCACTCTGGTTTTATTCTACAGTTTTGTTATTTAAGACCAATAAGCCATCCACTATAGGATTAAAATTAGACTTTTTTATTCTTTGAAAGAAAATTACACTTTCATAACTTGTAATTTTTCTTACCAATACAGCTTACCTTCTTTGTTAACTAGATATAAAAGTTATTCACTTTAATCTCCATTAAATTTTTTTCTAAGTAAGGGCACGCAATTCCTTCAGCCTCTACATACATGTGTATGTGTGTGTATATATATATACATATACATATATCATACACACACACACTACAAACACATAGAAAAAAATTTAGGTTTATTTTTTTATTTTTGTAAATGAATATTTTGTTCGCATGCACATTGTGCACCATGTAAGCACCTAGGGCCTTCAGAGGTCAGAAGAGGGTGTCAGACTCTAGAACTGGAGTTATGGACAGCTGTGAGATTCCGTGTGGGTGCTGGGAGTCCAACCCAGGTCCTCCGCAAGAACAAGTGCTCATAACTGTTGCTGTCATCACTTCCTGAGTAATTTCTTTAAGGCAGGGCCTCTTCCTGAACCCAGAGTGTTTTTTGTTTGTTTGTTTGTTTTTTGTCTAGGCTGCCAGCTAGTAGTCTGGCTTTGAACTTAGATGTTCATCTGCCTGTGCCTCCCGAGTACTGAGGTTAAAGGTGTGCTCCACTACTGCCTGGCAGCGCTAATATTTTTAAGGGAGATCGATGAGATTGGGCTGAGTATGCTAAAAAAAAAAAAATCTGGGACAGGTTGTCATTGAGAGGGCAAAGGTGACAAGAGAAAGAAAAAGAAAAAAGTCTTCTATCTTCTTCTACTATCTACTCGTAGATACTTCCTTCTACTATCCCCCATCTATACTGTCTCAACGAAAGCTGGCTTGGAAATTATTAATAATTAGCACACAGATGATAGGACCTTAGGGAGTGGATATTTAACCAGTGTATTTCCCCCTTAAGTCCCCTTTTAATCTCAACTCTATCTATTCCCTTTCATTTTATGTTTTTATTTTGCTCAATTTCTGTCTTCCCTCAGAGAATATGAGTTCCATGAGTGTTCTCCAGTCCAAATTCCTGATCCATAGATTCTGGGAACCTAATAAAATGCCTTTTTTTTTTTTTTTTTTTAAGTTTCTTAGATTTAACTACACAGTAGTAAATAGGAAACTGTGTTGGGGATGTAGCTCAATGGTAAAGTGTTTACCTAGCATGCACAAAGCCTGCAGTTTGATATTCAGCAACAGTAACAACAGATAATAGCAACAGCAACAAACAAACAAACAAACAACTAAAAATAAAACAGAAGCCAAAAATCTAGAGAGAGTATTGAGCTTGTGTTTTCCATATCCTGTGCTGGGAGGCAGGAACTGAGCAAGATAAATAAATAAAATGCACACAGTGAAGGCGAATAGACAGGCTTCCGATGGGGGACTGCTGACTGTTCATGTTTCTGGGTGATTGGCTTTTTGTATACGGTATAATATTGAAAACATGGAAAGTTTAAAGAGTGGAGAATGTTTTGCCTGTCTTGTTCCTCAGCCAAGAACGGAAGTAACAGCCACTGCACCTAGTTCCCTCTTTTTCTCCAGAGACTTCGTGCAGACGCAGCTTCCTACAGGAGTAGAAGTGCTCACTGTTTTCTCATCTTGAGCTTTTCATTAAGCGATACATTTTTGTAATCTTCCCTTGTTACTGATTGGATTTTTATAGACCATTTTGCCGTCTTTTTAAGAGACCATTTTACCTTTTTTACTCACTTTATTCTGGATTTGTATGGATTGGTGTGTAAAACCCTTTCTTCATGTCTTTCAGTTACAGACATTAAGGCAGAACCCCAGCCTCTTTCTCCGGCTTCCTCAAGTTGTTCAGTCTTATCTCCTCGGTCCATAGACTCTTGTTCTTCAACTCAGCACGTTCCTGTAAGTGGCTCCTCTTTTGTAATGAATTGGGTTATAATGCTATCTGGAAAATGGGAGGGAGGGGAGATGGTAGTTGACAGTCATTAAGTGTTTTGAGGAACCTTATTCTTCGAGGCAAAGGAGACTCGACAAGGGCCTTGTAGGAGTGAGAGGCCGTCAGCTTCCTAGGTTTGGCTCACTCCTTTTTGTTCTTCCTTCCTCAATGCCTAATAGTGTTTGCTTATTGGTTTATTTTCTTTTCTTCCTGTACTCCACTTTCCTCTCTCTTAGAGTCTCTTTAAGGACTTGGAAGAATGTAAGATTTGTAATCGCTGAGCCATAGAGTCTGGCATGGTGATCTGTTTAGTTCAGGAGCTCCCACCATTATCTTTCAAATAAGCTAAGATCTTACAAAAGTCTGATAGCTCCTTTGGAGTGCTGCCCTCTCCACCACAACAAAAGCATTGTGGTCAAGAAAATGGAGTACTTTAAGCACTCCATTTAAGTAATGGGAAAGGAAGAAAAATCAAATTAAGGTTTCATATATTTTATCTGTTGTAAGTTGAGTCATCTTTATTCTGGCCAGTTCTATATTTAGCCAACTACTAAATTCTAGTGATTCTGTTCGTGTGTGTGTGTGTGTGTGTGTGTGTGTGTGTGTGTGTGTGTGTAGATGAGAACCTTCAGGAGTTGGTTCTTTCTTTCTACCATGTTGGAGGATCAAACAGTTCCTCAGACCTACACTGCAAGCATTTTTACCTGCCGAGTTATCGAGTTATCATCACTCCAACCCTCTTTTTGCTTAATATTTGTAAGATTATTATTTTTTCTTTGCCAGGCCATCATCATCTGACCTTAGGATAAAAGGCATTAGGATTTTTAAAGACTTTTTATTGGTTCTTTGTGAATTTCACATCATGTACGGTAATCCTACCCTCTCACCCTTCCTTCATACTCGCCTTCCATCCTTGCAACCTTCCCCCAACAGAGAAAGAAAAAATCTTGTTGTGGAATAGCTGTAGTATGTCACAGTGTGTCCACAGTATTCTCTTGTTCACACTTCTTTGCTTGCAAATGTTTATTGCAATGACTTGTTGGTCTGGTAAAGGCCTCTGGCTTCTGCTGCTCTCCTCTCATATATCCTGTTGTTACCCTGTGTCTTGGAGATCCTGTAGTTTTGGATCTGTAGGACTGGCCCCTACATGCACTTCAGCAGTTCATTCATGGGGTAGATGTTGGGGTGGGCCAATTCAAAGTCTTGGATCTGGGCCTGAGAGGTATCTGGGCTGGTCAGCCTGCTGGCTCTCTTCCTTGGCCAACTCACCAGCAATCCCCTGCTACCAGGGCCAGTTCTACCCTGCTGCCCAGGCGAGGTGCAGGACCGGATCTCCCAAGTGTTGCAGCTGGCGAGGGACACGGCCAGTTCTTCCGCTCTCAGGAAGAACTCCCGGGACCATCTCTCCTGCCTGCCATAGATGGCGAGGGATGGGAAAAGGGCATCTGTACCTGCGCACATCACTGCCAAGCAGACAAGAGTCAGGGCTGGCTCTCTCATTCTCATACCCTCTCGTTGGCTTCATCTGTGCCCCGTTATGAGAGTCAGCTCCACTGTGCTGCCCAGGTGAGGTACAGGGCCTGCTGGGATTCTTTTTTTTTTCTTTATTAATTACACTTTACTCACTTTGTATCCCCCAGTGGTTCCCTCCCTCCTCCTGTCCCAATCTCTCCCTTCCTCCACCCTCTGCCTGCATGCACCTCCCCAAGTCCACAGATAGGGAGGACTTCTTTTCCTTCCTTCTGATCCTAGTCAATTAGGTCTCATCAGGAGTGGCTGCATTGTCTTCTTCTGTGGCCTTGTAATGCTGCTTCCCCCTCAGGGGGAGGAAATTAAAGAAGCAGGCCTATCAGTTCATGTCAGAGACAGTCCCTGTTCCTATTACAATGGAACCCACTTGGATACTGAACTGCCATGAGCTACATCTGTGCAGGGGTCTTAGGTTATCTCCATGCATAGTCCTTGGTTGGAGTATCAGTCTCAGGAAAGACCCCTGTGCTCAAATTTTTTGGTTCTGTTGCTCTCCTTGTGGAGTTCCTGTCCTCTCTAGATCTTACTATTTCCCACTTCTTTCCTAAGATTCCCTGCACTCTGCCCAAAGGTTGCCCATAAGTCTCAGTATCTACATTGATAGTCTGCAGGGCAGAAATTTTCAGAGGTCCTCTGTGTCAGGCTCCTGACTTGTTCCCTCTTTTCTCCTTCTTCTGATGTCCAGCCTCTTTTCCTTTCTGGATAGGAATTGAGCATTTTAGCAAGAGTCCTCCCTCTTGATTAGTTTCTTTAGGTGTACAGATTTTAGTAGGTTTATCCTATATTATATGTCTATATGAGTGAGTATATACCGTGTGTATCCTTCTGCTTCTGGGATAGCTCACTCAGGATGATCTTTTCCAGATCCCACCATTTACCTGCAAATTTCATGATTTCCTTGTTTTTTATTGCTGAGTAATATTCCATTGTGTAGATATACCACAATTTGTGCATCCATTCCTCCACTGAGGGGCATCTGGGCTGTTTCCAGCTTCTGGCTATTACAAATAAGGCTGCTACAAACATGGTTGAGCAAATGTCCTTATTGTGTACTTGAGAATCTTTTGGATTATATGCTTAGGAGTGGTATAGCTGGATTTTGAGGAAGCACTATTCCTAGTTGTCTGAGAAAGCACCAGATTGCTTTCCAGAGTGGTTGTACAAGTTTACATTCCCACCAGCAGTGGAGGAGGGTTCCCCTTTCTCCACAACCTCTCCAGCATGTGTTGTCTCTTGAGTTTTTGACCTTAGCCATTCTGATGGGTGTAAGGTGAAATCTCAGGGTTGTTTTGATTTGCATTTCCCTGATGGCTAATGAGGTTGAGCATTTCTTTAAATGTTTCTCTGCCATTCAATATTCCTCTGCAGAGAATTCTCTGTTTAGCTCTGTATTCCATTTTTTAATTGGATTACTTGATTTTTTGCTGTTTAACTTCTTTAGTTCTTTATATATACCGGCTATTAGCCTTTTGTCAGATATAGGATTGGTGAAGATCTTTTCCCAATCTGTAGGCTGTCGTTTTGTTCTGAGGACAGTATCCTTTGCTTTACAGAAGCTTTTCAATTTCATGAGGTCCCATTTATTGATTGCTGTTCTTAGAGCCTGTGCTATTGGTGTTCTTCAGGAAGTTGTCTCCTGTGCCAGTGAGTTCAAGGGTATTCCCCACTTTTTTTTCTATCCGATTTAATGTGTCCAGTTTTATGTTGAGGTCTTTGATCCACTTGGACTTCAGTTTTGTGCAGGGTGATAAGTATGCATCTATTTTCATTTTTTTACATGTAGACATCCAGTTAGACTAGGACCATTTGTTGAAGATGCTGTCTTTTTTCCATTGAATGGATTTGGCATTTTTGTCAAAAATCAGGTGTCCATAAGTGTGTGGATTTATGTCAGGGTCTTCTATTCGATTCCATTGATCCACCAGTCTGTTTCTATGCCAGTACCATGCAGTTTTTAGTATTGTTGCTCTATAGTACAGCTTGAGATCAGGGATGGAGATACCTTCAGAAGATCTTTTACTGTAGGGAATTGTTTTAGCAATTCTGGGTTTCTTGTTGTTCCATATGAAGGTGAGAATTTTTCTTTCAAGGTCTGTAAAGAATTGTGTTGGTAATTTGATGGGAATTGCATTGAATCTGTAGATTGCTTTTGGTAAGATGGTCATTTTTACTATATTAATTCTGCCAAGCCATGAGCATGGGAGATCTTTCCATCTTCTGATATCTTCTTCTAATTCTTTCTTCAGAGACTGGAAATTTTTTTCATACAAGTCTTTCACTTGCTTGGGTGGTTCACACCAAGGTACTTTATGTCCTTTGTGGCTATTGTGAAGGGGTTGTTTCCCTAATTTCTTTCTCGGCCCTTTTGTCCTTCGTATACAGGAAGGCTACTGATTTTTTTGAGTTAATTTTGTATCCTGCTGGGATTCTTAACTGGTGGTCTGCCAAACCTTAGTAGAGTCATCTTCAAAGATATGTTTTCTAAAATTACAAAATTGACCATGCCTTAAAAACCATTAATAACTTCCAAATACCTAAAGTATAAAGTTCAAATTCTCTTGTCTGCTGGGCCCTCCAAGATCTTCTCATGTTCACCTTTGTAGTCATTCCAGTCTTGCTAAGGAGTGTGCTTCCCATCTTCACACTCCATTTAGCTTTAGCCTGTGAGTTTCTTCTGAGAACTGTGTCCTGGTGTAGCCCTGTGCTACACCAACACTGGTGGTGAGGTCTCTGTTCTTACAGTTTTAGGTCTTTTTAAAATTTTTTATTGAGACTTCATCTAACTTTATAGCTACTTTTCTTGTTGCTGTGACAAAACCCTGACCAAAACAACCTAAGGAAGAAAAGGTTTATTTTGGCTCAGCCTGTCCTAGAAGGGAAGGCATGGCAGCAGGGGAGTGGGGGTGCTGGCCGCATCGTATCTGTGCTCAGAAAGCACACAGGTGAATGTTTCTGCTTTGCCTCCTTCCTCTGTTTTTGAGTCTGGGACCTCAGCCCATGGAACGCTGTTGCCCACATTTAGTGTGGGTCTTCACCCCTCAGCCTAATCTAGAAACTGCCTCGGCAGGTACGCGTAGAGACTTGTTTTCAGGGTGATTCTAGATTCTCTCAAGTTAGTAATCAATATAAACCATCACAGTAATCAAAGGTGGCTTTGGACTTGTGGCCCTGCTGCCCCAGCATCCCCCGTGCTAGGATTAGTTCTTTTAAAGTTAGAGTCTCACTGCGTTGCTCAGTCTGGGTTTCAGTGCAGGACCTTGACACTCTGTCTACCTGGGTTGTTTCTTTCATTTCCTTGTTTTGTTTTTGAGGCAGGGTTTCACTATGTAGTGCTGGCTGGCCTGGAAGTCATTGTGGAGTCAAGCTGGTCTGGAAGTTGTAGAGAGCCTTCAGCCTCTAGGTGATGGGATTAAAGATATGTGCCAGCACAACCAGTCCTGTTTTATTATTTATTATTTTTATATTTATATAAAGTATAAATATAATACTTATTTTTATTTTTATTATTTTTACTATTTGTACTAGTATTATTTTTGTTGCTGCTCTTCCTCTGCCTCCTTATCCTCATCCTTTTTCTTGCCTTTTACTTTTCTTCCTCTTTTTCTTCTATTCTTCCTTCTCCTTCTATTACTCAAAAGGTTTTTTTAAAAGCATTCTTAAAGATACTCTATAATTTTTTATTCTTGTTCTCCTGCTTACATTGCTTTTTCATTTGGAATAATCCTAAATTTGCAAGTATGCTGCGGAGATTTTTGTCTGAGACATTTGAGAGTCAGCTGCCCACTGCTGGATTGAACGCCAAGTCCTATAATGTCTACCTCCTATGAACAAGACAACAATAATACATCTATCAAAACCAGGAACTAAGCATTAATACATATTGATAATTTCATATACAGTCCCCATTTAGATTGTATCAGATGCCCTAGTATTGTCCCTCAGACCAGCAAATGCATCCAGTTGTATTTGTCTTACTACTTTAATGTTTTTTATTCCGGAACAATTCTTCCTTCTTGACCTTGGTGCTTTAATGACCTTTTCATTTGGATTGCCATATGTTTCTTCAGGTTAGATTCAGATTTTGTATCTATGGCAGGAATGTTACAGAAGTGATTCTGTGTCTAGCGTTTGTTTTATTTTGAGACAGGGTTTCTCTGTGTAGCCTTGGCTGTTTGTCTGTCCTGGAACTTGCTCTATAGACCAGGCTGGCCTCGGACTCATAGAGATACACCTGCCTTTGCCTCCCAAGTGCGTAGATTAAAGGTGTGGGTCACCACTGCCTGGCCTGTTGTTGTTTTTTAAGATAGAGTCTCACCTAGTTCAAGCTGGCTTTAAAGTTGCTGTGTAGTGGAAGACCTTCAACTGTTGATTCTCCTGCTTCCACCTCCCAAGAGCCACATACACTCTACCTTCTCATTTATTTTTGATGATGAAACTTCAGGTTGATGACACAATTTCAGCTTTTCCTGATACTGGTTCACCTCATTCAGCATATGATAGACTCTCAGCTATAAAGCTAATTTTTCTCCTTTTGCTAGTTGTTAGTATTTTTTGAAAAAGGTACTTTAAAACCATATAAAGGTACAGTTCTTAAAAAAAAAAAAAACGAGTATTTACTTTTTTTATATTGTGTGTGTGATGTATGTGTGTGTGTTCATGGATGGGTCATACTCTTTGTGCCATGTGGGTTCTGGGGATTGAATTCAGTATCTTTACTCACCATCTCTCCTGCTCAAATGTACTGTTCTTTGTCAACCTTTGTATTACTCAGATCTTGGTAATATTCATGTTGACTCACTGTTTCCCATTTCCTGTAGCTGGAACCCATTGCTACGATTATTTATTCTGTTTCTTGTGTTGTCTTATATTTAGCTGCTAGGAGTCTCTTTCTATTGCTCCTGTGATCTTTCTGTTTCCATCGGGCATAGCCACCTTACATCAAGGCCTGCTCCTGGGCCTCACCCTTGCCCTGACTTCTTAGATCCCTTGTGAACGCTCTCCCTACCCAGCTGGTGCACTGACAACTTCCCCCAGGCATGGAAGGTGGTCTTGTAGCCCCATCTAGTGGCTAATGGTTGAATTATCCAGGAAGGCATATTTTCTATGTGATGGTTAATACAAATTTATCATAAGGTAAACATAGATCTCAGGTCTATTTGAAATTGCCTTACTGTGTGATGTAAGACACAGGCTCGGTTTTATGTATCTCCAAATTATTATTAAAAGATTTATTCCCATATCGTTTATTAAAAGTTCATTTTCCCCTCACTGATTTTCAGTTAAAGGCATGCACTCAAACTTTGGGCAGAGTGCAGGGAATCTTATGAAAGAAGGGGTAGATAGAAAGATGTGAAGGGGACAGGAACTCCACAAGGAGAGCAACTGAACCAAAAAATCTGGGCACAGGGGTCTTTTGTGAGACTGATACTCCAACCAAGGACCATGCATGGAGATAACCTAGAACCCCTGCACAGTTGTAGCCCATGGCAGCTCAGTCTCCAAGAGGGTTTCCCAGTAATAGGAACAGGGATTGTCTCTGTCATGAACTCATGGGCTGGCTCTTTGATCACCTCCCCCTGAGGGGGGAGCAGCCTTACCAGTCCACAGACGAAGACAATGAAGCCAGTCCTGATGAGACCTGATAAGCTAGGGTCAGATAAAAGGGGAGGAGGACCTTCCCTATCTTTAGACTGGGGTAGGGGCATAGGAGAAGAAGAGGGAGGGAGAATGGGATTGGGAGGGGATGGAGGAGGGGGCTTCAGCTGGGGTACAAAGTGAATAAACTATAATTAATAAAAATAAAATAAAAAATTTTACGTAAATATATTTATACAAATGGTATTATATTAGATCTTCTGTTCAAATATTTCTTTATTGATTTATGTTTTGAGTTTTGAGACAAAGTCTTGCCTTGCTATTCAACTAGACTTTAACCCATGATCCTTTTCTTTAGCCACTTGAATGGTGAGATTATAGGCATGTATCACAAGCCTGGCTTGTGTTCACTTTTGAAGATTATTCATGTTGCTCTGTATACATATGTTGCGTGTAACTGTGTAACTTCACATTTCAGGAAGCACTCACTGTATTGTACCCACACCATGAAAAATGCTGTAAAAATATTCTCTTGTGGCTTGTGTCAGATTCCCTCTGGAATGTATATCCAGGAGGATAAAAGTGGGGTACAGGCTACAGATACTCAATTCAAAGAGCCTTGGAATGTTTCTGCTAAGGCTTGATGTTATCCAGTTTTCTGGTTTTAGCCAGATGGCAAGTCTTTTTTGTTATTATTTAATTTTCATTTCTTTGATTATTGCTCATTTTCAGACTGACTCTAGTTTCATTATGTGTCTTTGATCTTGTATAAATTCTTTGTTCCTGTCTTTTAATAGTTTTTCTACAGATTTTCTGTCCTGTGTTATTTGGAAGCATCAAATGCATGGTTAAGGTACTAGACTGTTAGTGGCGCCTGCATGTGTGCTGGTGTGTAAGGAGGCCGGTTCCGAAGGAATACCTAACCATGTGAGGCAGTTTTCACCAGTTGGGGGCCTGACCAGAGAGCCCCAGGGAGCCCCGTCTGCACCTTTCCAGCACTGGGATTACAAGTGTGAGAGGGCAAGCGCTTTGCTGAGCCATCTCTCCAATTTCAAACTCTTGCTGAGTAAAGGCATTGCTGATCTCATTTCCCCATTAACTGTCAACTTTATAGTCTTTATTAAGTAGAAATTCTTATTTCCAGTTACTCAGATTCCCGAGGTCACCACACACACACACACACACGCACACGCACACACGCACACACACACACACGCACACACACACACGCACACACACACGCACACACGCACACGCACACACGCACTCCTTTTCTTCTCAGCTTAATTTTGAAGTCTTTTTAAAAAAGATTTTCTTTTAGATTTTAAATTTTATTGTATGTGTATAAGTGTTTTGTCTACATGCATGTCTGTGCACCACATGCATGCGTGCTGTCTGCAGAGATCAGAAGAGAGTGTCAGATACCCAAAGTGGAGTTACAGACGGTTGTGAGCCGTCACGTCATGTGGGTGCTGGGACCTGAACCTGGGTCTCCTGCAAGAGCAAGTGCTCTTTGCTGCTGAGCCAGCTCCAGGCCCAACTTTGAAGCTTTAAAAAGTTCTTCTGTGCTTGTAGGCCACAGAGATCGTTTCCCGCATTTTCTTATAGTAACCAGATGGTTATCTTTCACAGTTAGATTTTCAGTGCCTTTTGAGCCTACTGTACTATGTGTTGTTACTGTGGGGGAGTCTTAATTTTTCTTACGTTGCTCTAACAAAATATGACAGATCCACTGAAAATTAAAAGACACTTGTTAAACATTAATGTCATTCTAACACATCTTTAAATTATTTGTTCACCCATTAAAGTTTCTTTAAAATATTGTAGAAGTCAGTTGATCAAAAAGATTGAGACTTACTTTGCTTTTGAGATTCCCGTTTTTAAAGACTTTATCTGTCTGACTGTCTGTCTATCTGTCTATTATGCATACAATGTCTGCCTATATATTTCCCTGCCTGCCAGAAGAGGGCACTAAATCCCATTATAGATGGTTGTGAGCTACCATGTGGTTTCTGGGAATTGAACTCTGGGCCTCTGGAAGAGTAGGCAGTGCCCTTAACCTCTGAGCCATCTCTCCAGCCCCTGCTTTTGAGATTCTTTCAAGGCTGAATAAAAGAAATGAAAGAGGATATTAATTGTAGCTCTAGTTTTATGATGATAAGTAAATGTGTGTATGACATAAACCAAGTAAGATTCAAAGTCTGAGGGAAGAGGTGGGGAAACCGATTAATGATGTCTGTGTAACGCGTGAGTGAGATGTACAGATGTTGCATCGTGAGTTCCTGCCCTTTGGGGCTGATGAGTGTGGACTTCTCAGTAGTCACTTAGCAGTATATCTTTGCTTTAGGTTGTCTTGCATCACCTTTCGTTTACATGTGCTCTTGTTCTCTTTCTAAGTAATTTGTCGTTCATACATTATCCTGTTGGACATTAATTTGTTTCTCTTTTGCTGCAGGAGGAGTTGGATTTGTCTTCTAATTCCCAGTCTCCCCTTTCCTTATATGGTGAAAGCTGTAATAGCCCTTCCTCAGTGGAGCCACTGAAGGAAGACAAGCCTGTCATTGGTCCTGGAAACAAAACTGGTATCTGTCTATCTCTCGATTTTTGTTATTTCTATTTTAGACAACTTCGGTTCCATTTTTAAAAGGCAAATATTGAATTAAGCATATGTCTACTAAACAGGCTTGTGTTTTTAAATTAGTGTTTTATCTTATGTGTATGGGTTTTTTATCTGCATGTATGTCTCTGAACAAAGTACATGCCTCCTGCCCCAAAAGGCCAAAAGAGGGCTTCAAATACCCTGGAACTGGAATTATAGACAGTTGTAACATGTTCCAGAATCCAGGTCCTCAGAGTAACCAGCATTCTTAATTGCTGAGCCATCTCTCCAGCTCCTAAATTAGTATATCTTATTTTGTTGTTGTTATGAATGATAGCTGTGAAGAGGACAAGGGAACAAAACCTTTTGTAATGTTTTTTTGTCTTCATAGAGGAAAAATAGTTAAAATAGACTTAGAGTCCATCATCTTCAGGAGAAGTTGTAAAGGTCCACTTAAAGACAGAGTGTGAGAGGTGGTGACTCCTGCCTCATTAAGCTGTAGGCCTTATTCATTAATTTTAGCATTATACTTTACCAGTTCATGTTCCCCATTCCCCAAACTGCAGAATGGATGATCTCAGACTGAGGAGTTTTCTTCAGTCCATGCAGTTAGAGAATAGCGTGTTTAAGCTCACTGATAATTGTTACTCAGAAGTCAAGATAATACAGAGAGGAAAGTATGTAATGTGATACGTTTTCTTAATTTTTTTCACATTGATTTGAAGTTTTGTTTTTTTTTTACTCCAGAACATGGGCTAACTCCAAAGAAAAAAGTTCAGATGAGTTCAAAACCTTCAGTTCAGCCCAAGCCTTTATTACTTCCAGCAGCACCCAAGACGCAAACAAATGCCAGTGTTCCAGCAAAAACCATCATCATTCAGGCGCTCCCAGCCCTGCTGCCACTGGCGAAGCAGCAATCCATTATCAGTATACAGCCTGCACCCACTAAAGGTACCTGCGTAGACTATGATGCTCTGTGTTCATTAGAAAGCAATAAGGCTTATATCACATGATTTATTTTAATTTGGGTTAAAATTTTTGAACATGTGCCATTGTATCAGGAAATTTCTTTGATTCTGAGAATATTAAAGAGATGACTAATGTGGTTCCTGTCCCTGTAGAGACAGAGCTCTACAGATCGTATTTGTTGCTTCTTTTTTTCTTACAGCTTTTATTGTGGTAATATCTATATTCAAGATGCCATTTTTAATTTTTGTTTTTGTTGTGTGTTTGAGGCTGATTCTCACTATATAACCTTTACTGGCCTGGAACTCTATAAGTAGACCAGGCTGGCCTCAGATCAACAGAGAGCTACCTGCTTTTGCCTCCTGTGTGCTGTACCACATTAAAGGGCTGCACCACACTTGGCTGAGGCTTTGGTATTAATATTAGGAATTCACTTACAATGAAGAAGAAAATTTGGGAGACTTTTTTTTATATCACCACTTTATTCTAAGATTATTGTGAGAGCAACAGAACCAGAAAATTTGAACACAGGGGTCTTTCCAGAGACTCATATTCCAACTAAGTACCAGGTATGGAGATAACCTAGAACCCCTGCACAGATGTTGCCCATGGCAGTTTAGTGTCCAGGTGGGTTACATAGTAATGGGAAGAGGGACTGCCTCTGACATAAACTGATTGGCCTGCTCTTTGATCACCTCCCCCTGAGGGGGGAGCAGCCTTACCAGGCCACAGAAGATGATAATGCAGCCACTCCTGATGTGATCTGATAGACTAAGACCAGAAGGAAGGAGAGGAGGACCTCCCCTATCAGTGGACTTGGGGAGGGGCATGCGTGAAGAAGTGGGAGGGAGGGTGGGACTGGGAGGGGAGGAGGGAGGGGCTTATGGGGGATACAAAGTGAATAAAGTGTAATTAATAAAATAAAATAAAATTTAAAAGAAAAGTAAAAAAAAAAAAGGATTATTGTGGCTGTGACCTTTTTTTTTTGTTTTGTTTTGAAGTGGTGAATAGAATTTAAAATAATAAGGACCATTTCAAATCAAGTGTGTGCTAAGCAATAAATCTGGCTCTTCATTTCTGAGGAGACTGTGCAGTTTGGCAAGTAACATGCTAAGCCAGGAGTTAGAAGATGGGACTGCTGCCAGCTGGTTCAGAGTTGCTCGGTTTCTGCACTGCTGCCACCTAGCTCAGAATTGTTGTTTTTCAGTATTTTATCCACCAGGTGGCCTCATGTACATATGCTCCTACGAGAAAGTTAGTTGACTAGCGAAAGAAATTCAGATTTGAAGAGTTGTTAATCTTGAGATAAGGGACATTTCTTAGGCAGTTTAGTCATCGCTGTGCTTACACTGATCTGTGGTACGTATGGCTGTGAGAAAATTTATGCAGTATTCATTACTCAGGATTGAATTTATTGGCACCAGTTAACAGTAGGATTTAATAGGGCACGTGTAAGTAAAAATCAAAGCCATGTTTGCTTTTATGGCCATATTTGTATTTATGGATAGTTAGCTTATTTTTCTGGAACATGGTTTCAATGGGAGAGGCTTCATAGACTTGATTTTGACCATGGGCAACAGGACATTGATAAAAAGAACCCGAGAAAAGAATGGATGTATGGGTAAAAACCTAGCCCTAATAAAAGAATAAAACAAATAGACAAAACACTTTGAAATGCCCTGCCTCCAAAACACTCCTATGTGTTTTTTAAATAGGAAAAATAGCAAACCTGTTTTAGGTGTCTTGTGATTTGTAAGTGGATGTTAAGAGTTCATGAACTCTTTGAAATAAGGCACAAGATTTAGTGTATATTCACTAGTATATATATGGGGTTTTAGGAATAGTACCTAAAACTTTTACCAAGGCCTCAGAATTATTTGTGTCTTTCCAAAGGCTAAGAATTTAAGTTCATGAAGAACTTCATTATAGTTCTCACAGCTGTTAAAACACTTATTTAAAAAGTCACAGTATGATGTTAGCATGGCATTGTATAGAGAGGGAGTGCCCTCAAGAATGTGCTTTAAACTGTTGGCTGTGTTTGTATGATAAGAGATCTTTTTGGTTTTGTTGTTTTCAAGACAGGGTTTCTCTGTGTAGCTCTGGCTCTTCTGGAACTCACTCTGTAATCCAGCTGGCCTTGAACTTAGAGATCCTCGAGCCTCTGCCTCCTGAGTGCTGAGATTAAATCTGTGTGCCACCAGCACCAGCTGAGATCTTTACTTATAGCAAGAGACAGATTGTTCTTTTCTAAGTAGCTTATCAGTTTCAGAAATTACAATCATACATTCTAACTTCAATGATTTCATATGATCTGAAGACTATTTTTTGATAAGCATGTGCCAATAAAATTTTTTAATAATATAATCCATGGATTTTGGTATTACTATTATAATCTACAGATTAGGTATGTGTATTTCATATTTTTTTCTCCTTAATTTGAAATTGGAATGAGAAGAAGAAAGGGCTGGGGAGATGGCAAAGTCAGTAAAATGCTTGCCACATAAGCATGAGGACCTGAGTTCAGATTCCTAGCACCCACTTCAAAAGCTGGATGTTCTAGTACCTATCTGAGGGCAGGCAGAGCCCTGGAGGTCACTGGCCATCCTGTCTAGCTAAATTGATAAGCTCCAGTTTCAGCGAGAGACCTGTCTCAAAAAATAAGTGGCAAGCCACTGAAGAAGATACCCAACATCAACCTCTGGTCTCGACACACATGTGCACACACATGAAAACATATTCTTGTATGTACCACATGGGTAAAAAGGTGTAATCTCTAAGTTTTAAGTTCAAATTCTCTAGTGTGAGGTTAAAGTGCTTCAAAATTGGATCCAGCTTAGTTTTCCAACTTTATTTCATTATTTTCTACAAACCTTTGTGCCAGACTAACTAACCTGGCATTGTCTCTTGAATTCTGCCAGCCTGAGTTATTTTTCTATGTAGTTTTGCTTCTAAGTCATCTGTGGCCTGTAAGAATGTTCTAAGTAGTTCAATTGAAAGATGGTTAAAACCTAGGATATCTGAAAATGTGGAAGCAGGAGGGGAAGTAGCGCTGTTAACAAAGTCTAGCATTGTAAGGGTTGGTAATTAATGTTGTGTGTGTGTAAGGAAGGATTATGAAGGATAGAGAAGAAAGTCTCTTGGGTGACTTCTTTGTTTCTGTCAGACTTTTGATGATACCAGAAATCACTGAAATTAAGAGCTACGTAGAGAGTAACATCTAGTAAGAGGGGCCGCCAGAGTGAAGTCAAGTGGTCTGGCTGGCCAAGTCTTGGTAATTAATTATGAAGTAATTAATTATGATATTTCTTCTAAAATGATGAAATGTGATCAGTTTTACCCTCAGAATTAATTTATATAGTTACATAACAATTATGAGAGCTAATGAGTCATTAATACATGCAAGTTACTGTTAAACAGAAAAAGTGTTAATAATGAATGTATGCCAAGCTGCTATTATGTGTCAGCCATTCTAAGTGCTTAAAGCATTATCTTATTCAATAGTTACATGGCTCTCAGGGTATGTATCAAGATTTTCATTTTATAGATGAGAAAACGGTGCAAAGGAATTTTTGATCAAATTGACACAAGTATGTTATTTTAGACAAAGTAGATATTCCATAAATGTTTGGTATATAGTTTGAAATCTTTGAATAAAGTAAAAAAGTCAGTGGTCATACATAGAAGTATTCAGTATTGAATGCAGCTGTCTTCCATGAAGGGGATTTGCATGTAATGCTTGAGAGGATTTTGAGCATGCCAAAATGCTCAGCCCTTTGGTGTGTTGTGTTTTATGTGTTTCCATACCAGGAACAGTAGTCACTATGTTCAGCTGCTAACTGCTGAAGGCCCCAAACAGTCCTTTTTTTTGCATTTTGTCTGCGGTTTGGTCAGCAGTTAGCAAGTAACTATGAGAGTTTTGGTTTTGAATGTATTATAATGGAAATTTAGTGGTTCTTGCCATTCTGTCTTGAACTTAAACATGCCTAGAGGATCCTTGATTAAAATAAAGTGAAGACTGTTGGGAGCGTTAGGGAGTAAGAGCTTGAAATGCAGCACGGAATAAAGGAAGCAGCAGTGGTCTGGTGGGATGTGAGCCATATTTGGTATACAGACTGCCGTAGTAATCATCTCTCCAAGATGCAGTTCTTTTGACTGGCAGATAGGGATGGTGGAACAGTGGACAGTAAGATTTGGATTGTTAGCCACACTGGTGGCCTGTAATCCCAGCGGAGGCAGGTGGATCTCTGTGAGTTTGAGGCCAGCCTAGTTTACAGAGGGAGTCAGGACAGCCAAGGCTACACAGAGAGACCCTGTCTCAAACAAACAAACAACAACAACAAAAACACACAGAAAAAAAAAGGATTTGGATGATTTTTCTTTTTTTTCTGTTCTGTTTCTCCCCTCCCACCCCCACCTCCAGTAATAGGAATTGAACCTAGGGCCTTGTTCATACCTGGCAAGTGCTCTATCACTGACCTTTGTACAACTCCAGCCTTTTAATCTTTTATTTTGAGATAAAGTCTCATTAAGTTGTTTAGGCTAGCCTTGAATTCTCTCTGTGACCCTAGTTGGCCTTGAACTTGTGATCCTTTCCCTTAGCCTTCTGGGATTATAGTCCTGTACCACCAGGACCAGTTTTGAGTTATTTTTAAGAATTAGTGTTAAGGACTTATAGATATTCACAGGTGTTATTTACCAGTGCTCTAGATCTGTACCTGGGACTCCAGGTCTGATCCTTTTGGAAGTAAGTCTATGTGTTTCTTATCCCCTCTGTTCCTTGAATAGTGCTTGGAGGGGAGGTTTTTTTTTTTTATTATTATTATAATTTTAAGCTTAGAAGGCATTGAATATTGTTTCTGAAAATGTTGTTCTCTTCAAGTATTGATTTATGTCAGTGGTTCTGTAGACCATGGACCCTGGAATGTGTGCTGGGGTGATGGGGATGGATAGGAGAGCCTTACAGCATTTTGCAAGTCATCATCAAATCTTGATTTGTTGCAAGCTATAATTTGTTTTATTTATATTTGCATATTTTTCAAAAATTGTGGCTATATTTTTGGTTAGTAAACAGCAAATTCATTTTGTTTGGTTATTTTTTGATTATCTTGGTTTTGAGGTGGTGTCTTAATACATAACCCAAGGCTGGCTTTGAACTCAAAAATCTTTCTATCTCTGACTTCCAAGTGTGTAGATTCATAGCCCATACACTATTATGCCCAACAAAAATTCTTTTGAAACCATAGCTAAAATTTTTTAAAGCTAATTTATTTTTATTTTATGTGCGCTGATGTTTTGCCTGCATGTATGTTTGTGTGAAGGTGTCAGATCTTGGAGTTACAGAAAGTTGTGAGCTGCCATGTTGGTGCCGGGAATTGAACTCCAGTCATCTGGCAGAGCAGTCAGTGCTCTTAATGGCTGAGCCATTTCTCCAGCCCCCATAGCTAAGTTCTTATAGCCTTTTCTTATTATGCATTTTCTCAGTCCATAGAAACTGACAGACAACCATGATTATCGTGTGGTTAAGTTTCTTTCATGTTAAAGAAGAGTTCTCTTTGGGCTTGGTGGTATGTTCCTGTAATCTCAACACTTGGGAAGCTGAAGCTAGAGGATTATGAGTTGAGGCTAGCCTGGGCTGCGTAGCAGGTTGCAGGCCAGCTTTGAGCTGCATAGATCCTGTCTCAGAACCTCCTGGGTTTAGGGGTAGAAGGCTTACCTAGCATGTGCAAGACTCCAGTGTATTCAGAGTTAGGAGTCCTTGCTTCAGCTTTACATTATAGTGAGTGTATCCTTTTCATGCCAGATTGACTTAATGTCTTATTCAGTGTTGTTTAAAGCCCAGTCTTTGTTCATATATTATTTATATGTTTCTTTTATTTGTGTATATGGCCTAAACATATATTTACATTTCTGCCATTAACCCGTTTCTCCATTTTATGTGAATTTATTTTATAACAGAAGGTCAGTTTAGGGGAATACAAGAGGATAAATATGTTTGGCAATGTTATGCTCCAGTAAATTGTATATATTTCAAATTTATGAAATTAGCTTTACAATTTCTTACAAACTCAGTACTTATCAATAGTAATAACAGAATTGGGAAAAATTGGTAACATTTGAATTCTGCGTCTGGTCTGCCTTTTGAGGTCACTGAAACAAAGAATTTTATAAATATGACCTTTTTTTAACCAAGACAGATGTTCTCAACAAACAGGTGTTCTGAAAGTATTATTTTGATTTTCAGTTTCTTCTGACCTTTTGAAATATGAAGCTGAGATTTTTAAGACTTCTTAAACTGCCTGAATGTAAAATGCCTGTTTTTCTTTGAATTTTAGTTTCTGGTTATACTAGTACCTTTATTTAGCTCGGTAAAGCCAAACCACTGCAGATACTGGGCAAAGCGTCTACTACCTTATAAAGCTGGCAAAGGGAAGGAAACAGGCAGGCACGGTTTCAGTACAGCAGTGTTGTGAATTGTGTGTGCTGTCCTGAGGGTAGGGTCACCAGTTCCCCTCAAGTGAGTGCACACCTAAGATAAGGGCAGCCGCAGAGACTAGGCCGACCGGAAGGTCGTTGTTTTGGCACGGATCAGAAGGGTTGATTATTTAGAGGTGGCCGTGGTGACTGTCAACTAAAATTTCATCTCATTTGGTTTTATATTTTCTTTGATATTTTGTAGTCACTTTACTCTTTCCTACATATTTGTATATGTGTACTTCTAAATATTAATATAAAGGATTTGTTTAAAATAAGAAAAATTCATATGATACTAATAAAATTCAGAGGGTAGTTCTTGGAGAATGCAGATATTACAACAAATTTGGTATGTTGTGTTGTATTGAAAGAGATAAAAATGAACTACTACCTGGTTTGTTCATGTCTCTAATGAGTATTTTGCCTCTGCCTGCCCCCAGTTGGGCATTAACTAGGGCCTTGTACCTCCTAGGCAAGCCCTCTGGGGCCAAGCTACATCCCCAGTCCTCTTTTTATTTACTTTGTAACAGGAGGGTCAACAAACTTCTAATTCTCCTACTTCAGCTTCCGTAGTGGTACAGCTACAGGCCTGCATCATCAGCCTTGGCTGTAAAAAGTTTTTAAATTTAAATTGTCCGCCAGCATAGACACAGGCACAGGCGCAGATACAGACACACCAGACCAGAAGATGGTGCTAAAACTCGATGAGTTGGAGTTATATGCAGTGGTAAGCTGTTCAGTGTGGGTAATAGAAATCCAGTCTGGGCTCTCTTGAAGAACAGTAAAGTAAGCACTCTTAACCACTGAGCCATATCTCCTGCCTTTTTCTTTCTTTCTTTCTTTCTTTCTTTCTTTCTTTCTTTCTTTCTTT